TAGGATTACAGGCATGAGCCACCACACCCGGCCCGCATGTAGTATTTATAAATGAATGGAAATGGGTTTGGAAATCTATGGTCTGCAGATTTACCCATAATCCATCCATTTTATCAACTAACTAGGAAGGACTAGCCATAATCTAGAAGACAGACAACACCCATGCCCAGTGTTTAGTGGACACAGTTGTTTTTGCAAATGTTGTCTCACATGATACTGTCACATATCACCTTACAATGGGAATATATTCTGAGAAATGCTTTGTTAGGTGATTTCACCGTTGTGCAAACATTAGAGAGTATATTTCCACAAACCTAGATGGTAGAGCCTACTACACACCTGGGCTCTATGTTAGAGCATATTGCTCCTAGTCTACAAACCTGTACAGCACATGACTGTACTGAATACTGTAGGCAAGCTAAACATAGAAAAAGTACAGTAAAAATATAGTATAAAAGATAAAAATGGTACACTTGTGTAGGGCACTTACCATGAATGAAGCTTGCAAGACTGGAAGTTGCTTTGAGTGAATCAGTAAGTGGTGAATGAATGTGAAGGCCTAGGACATTACACTACCGTAGACTTTATAAATATTGCATACTTAGGCTACACTAAATTTATAAAAAATAGTTTCTTCAGTAACAACCTTAGGTTACTGTAGCTTTTTTACTTTATAAATTTTTAACTTTTTAAACTTTTTCATAAGACAAAACACGCACATCGGCCTAAGCCTATACAGCATCAGGATCACCAACATCACTGTCTGACACCTCCACATCTTGTCCCACTGGAGGGTTTTCAGGGGCGATAACACACACGGAGCTGCCATCTCCTATGACAACAATGCCTTCCTGAATACCTACCTGAAGGTAGGACCTGCCTGAGGCTCTTCTTAGGAGGTATCACTCATCAGCAATATGTCTATGATGGTTTTCTTGTTTTGTTTCTTTTTTTTCATCTTAGATTTGCTTCTAAGCAGATGATGCACCATGAACATTCCTCTCTATTAATGAAAACCTTTCAGTGTTGGGGTCCATGTTTTCACACTTCTTAAGGAGCTTGTTGAGGTCTGCAAAAGCTGCTGCTAAACCCTTCACTGTGAATTTTCTTGGGGATTCTTTTCCTTCTCCTGCAGTTTTCTTTGAGGGTATTCTTCCAGATGTCATTCATGTACTCCTTGGTGACATCGTCCCAAGCCCAAGCAAGGTTCTTGATGTAGTCATCGATGTTGTGGTCCTTCCAGAATCCCATCGATGTCTTTTCAGGATCTTCCCCATTTGCAGCAGTCGCCTGGGCAGAGGTCATCCTCAGGTAGTAGGTAGGCCTTAAAAGCTGCTTAAAAGCTCCTTGATCCATTGGTTGGATCAAAGAGGAGGTGTTTGGAGGGAGAAACACCACTGTGATATTGGGATGAAGATCACCAATAAAAGAGGGATGTGCAGGAGCATTATCAACAAGAAGCAAAATCTTCTCAAGTGTTTGTTAGTATCATTGCCTTTGATGAGGCAGATCCTTTAACAGCTTCCATCATTTGTTCTTAAGATCATAGCTATGGTGGGATGGGACATGCCTGACTGATAAGCAATAACCATCACTGATTTCCCACCGTCAGTCCTTAATCCCTTTTAATTTTGTTTCCAGGTCAATCACTCAATGTGATTGAGTCTCTTACTGGCAACATTAACCATGGATTTTGTATGCTTAGGGGCCATGACGAACAGAACAATATGAGATTAAATCAAGCACAAGAGAAGATAATGCAATCAAGAGACTCTGTAAATGAGATTTATGAGGCTGCTGCCACTGTAAATGGCAAACTGCTCTATAGTGAACTTTTTTGTAAGTAGAATCAGTACACTCTAGAATAACAAAATTATAGTATAGTATATACACAAACTAGTAATATAGTTGTTTATTATCAAGTATGAACTGTACATAATTGTATGTGCTGCACTTCTATATGACTGGCGGCTCTGTAGGACTGTTTACACTAGTATCACCACAAACATGTGAGTCATGCAATGCACTGCAACATTACAGTGGCTACGATGTCACTAGATGACAGGAATTCTTCAGCTCCATTATAATCTCATGGGACCATATGTCATGTATGTAGTCCATCGTTGACTGAAATGTCATTATATGGCACTTGCCTGTTTGGCCTATGTACTGTCTTCCTGTTATTGTAATGTCCCATTCCTGCAACTCTGGGTTCATCATCGTTTTTTCTTTTTCTTTTTTTTTTTTGAGACAGAGTCTCGCTTTGTTGCCCAGGCTAGAGTGAGTGCTGTGGCGTCAGCCTAGCTCACAGCAACCTCAAACTCATGGGCTCAAGTAGTCCTCCTGCCTCAGCCTCCCGAGTAGCTGGGACTACAGGCATGCGCCACCATGCCCGGCTAATTTTTTCTACATATATATTAGTTGGCCAATTAATTTATTTCTATTTATAATAGAGTCAGGGTCACTCTTGCTCAGGCTGGTATCAAACTCCTGACCTCAAGCAATCCGCTCGCCTTGGCCTCCCAGAGTGCTAGGATTACAGGCGTGAGCCACCGCACCGGGCCTATGGACTCAGTTTACACGAAACTCTAGAAAATTCAAGCTAATGTATAACAATTGCCAGAGGAGGGAGGGATTACATAGTATCACGAGGAAACTTTTTGGGGTGATATATATGTTTGTTAGCTTGACTGTGGGCATGGCTTCACAGGTGTGCACACATCAAAACTTATCAAATTATATTATTTGAATATGTGCACTCTATTGTGATTTCAATATGCTATTTTTAAAAATGGCTTTCATTTGGTCAGAAAGGGATTGCTAAATGAAAGAAAAATAAATAGAAATCAAATGGCTTCTTACCGATAAAAGCTAGATTAGGGAATGTGGTATAAAACACTCACCTGAATCTAATCACACCATCACCACCACCACCACCACTACCACACTGCAGGCCCTGTCCAGCAGGGGGCAGACTGTCCGTTCATGGCAAGGAGCGACCTAAGCAGAGAGCTGCGGGCCAGACTGAGCATGCTCAGTTCCTCCCGCACGCCGCCGTTCCCACGGGAATGAGGCAACGGGGGAGTTAGTCTAGGCTTCTGCACGTTTTCTGCGTGTGTAAAGGGCCAGTTAGTAAATATTTTAGGCTTTGCAGAAAGTGCCTTTCAAAAGTACTCAACTTTGTTGTAACACAAGAGCAGCCACAGATAATAATACATAAATAAGCTGAGGGCAACAGTTTGCTGGCCCATACTCAAGGGAAATCTCTCTGCACAGAAGCATAAAGAAAACATACTACCACCCCCACCCCCCGTTCCCCGGAATAACTATGCACTACACAAAATACAGACACCTTTATTTAGATTAGTACATATATTTAAGTGTCACATTAGAAATGATACCTTGCCAACATATAGGGAAAAACAGTATATTTTAAGAAAGAAAACCAAAACTTAAAACAGAGTCCATGATAAATTGGTCACACACAAGAACAGTAGTCCCCTCCTCCCCACCCACAAGGGTGGCATCATTGGCAGGTTGAGTGGTAAATTTTCTTACCTCATTGCATGTTTTTCAGGAGGTTCTTTTTTGCTTGAGGGATGTTTGGGGTGGGGAAGGGACAGGGTCTTTCTCTGTCGCCTGGGCTAGAGTGCAATGGCATGATCATAACTCACAGCAACCCTGAACTCCTGGGCTCAAGCAATCCTCCCGCCTCAGCTTCCCAAGTAGCTGGGACTACAGGCTCCAGACACAATGCCCTGTTAATTTTTTTAAAAAAAATTTTATGGACATGAGGGGTCTTACTATGTTGCCCAGGCTGGTCTCCGACTCTTGGCCTTGAGCAGTCCTCCCACCTTGGCCTCCCAAAGTGCTTGGATTACAGGCATGAGTCAGTGCAACCAGCCAAAGACATTCTTAGCTATAAACATGCTTAGCCTCTTAATGCTGTGGGTTTGGCAACTCCTTCACTGAATCTAAACCAGCAACTAAGAATGCTTGTTAACCTGTGAGCCCTATAAATACCCCTCCCATATTCTTGGGCCTGTTTTTCTCCATCTGTCCAAAGCTCTTAGGGTGCTTTATCTCCCCAAAACCCTCAATGATAAGGAGCACACGATGAAGGATGCTGCCTGGTCACTCCACCTCGTGCTCTGGTCCTCTGATGGAAAGTGGGATGATAAGAGATGACCTACTTTCTGATCACTACAGTGATGGTTGATTCCCCATAGATTCGAGATCCTTCTGCGGTGGAAGGATCAGAGTGCCCAGGCTGAGATGGCCAAGGACAGAAAAGGGCGAGTGGCAGCACACTGCACACCTGGAGGGAGGGGGCCCCAGATGTGATCTGGCAGGAGAGACCAGTTAATTGCTTTGGAGTCCTGTTTCATGGATGGGGATGGTTTCATTTCATATGTCTGAAATAAGATTTACTTGGTAGAAAAATTGTTTAATAAATATATTTTTTAAAACATATGAAGTGAATATGTCTATGTCCAGTTATTATTATGGAAACTATATGTAAGGGCCCAGAGTCTCACGACCATACTATCCTAGTTAAGACTGTGTTTCAGAGTCTGGAAACATATACATGGTTGCTGAGTCCTTATCTCTATAAAAGGCAGTCCAAGTGCATGGCTTACAGTAGCTACTGAATAAATGTTTAATGAATGAACCATCACTTCTGTGTTTAACGTGAATAGGGGTTAAGCAAGGCCTCAGTGTAGCTTTTCTTAGAAAAAGAAAAGACAAAGAATGGTAAAAATGCTACCTTCGACTTTTGACCTACAAGGCATGAAATGCCTCCTCCCTTTCCATTGCCTCAGTTCTTAGAATACAGTTCTTAGCTCTTGAACTGCCAAGAGCTGCTCTCTAGAGAGAGCACAGGAGTAGTGGTTGGCCATAGCCTAGGAGTGAAAACAGGAGGGCTCTGCTCTGAGTTTCAGTGTCAGTACAGAAAGCTTGCCGCACAGAAGGCAACCACGCCTCTTAGGGAAGCTATGTTAATACACACAGCCACGCGACTCTGCAGGTCCTACTTGAGAAATCATGTTTAGAAAGTTGTCCTTAAAGGCAATCACAGCTACCAAGAGAGAGATCTGCCATCTTTAAATCTTTACTTAACTCACCTTCCCTGAGGGTCTACAGGTAGAAACAGGTGTTCATCTTTAACAGGGGCAATATAATATTGTGACAGCTACAAAAACACAAAACCCTTTAAGTATATACCTAAGCGTTTTACCCAGCCTTTATTCTTATTAACAAGCATCCCAGTTAAAAGAGCAGTATTTTTTTTTGTTTTGTGCCTTGAAAATCCCAAGAAAACAGGTCTTTTGATATGTAGGGACACACACCCAGCCACTGTGGAAGGACATAAATGAGCTATTCTAACAGAGTCAGTTTTGTGTTTTAACCCCACTGACTGGTCCTGGATTAAGGATTCTCGTGGGATCCTTGTGTTTTACAACGGACTGCTCCATTATCTGTCCTTGGAGCAATAACTGAAGGAATCTCCATTTCTGACGGACCCATTCATGGAAACCTTTGGATTTCCCCTCTCCATCCTTTCTCGGCTGAAGATTGTGTCCTGGTCACTGTCGAACTCCGACTCGGACACCATCAGGCTGGAGTTGTGCTCTGTGCTTCGGTGCTTGATACCTAGGGAGAAGCAGACAGGCCTCAGAGGCACGACGCCGTCACTCCCTGCCAGCTGCCTGTCTTGCTGGCTGTGGGTCACGCGAGGAGCACAGAGTTGTGCTTGCTGCACCTTCACCCACAACACGGCAGGTGCTTTGGGTTTCCTAATGAGTAATGACAGGGCTTTGGTGTCACACTTGGGTTTGAGCCCCAGCCTTGACACTCACCAGCTGTGTGACCCTGGGCAAGATACCTAACCTCTCTGGGCTTTCAATCTCCTCTATTAAGTTGGGGAATAACAAGCATCTAATCCCAGGGGTTTATGGTGAGGATTAAGTGAAATAGTGCATAGAAAGCTCTTGGCCCAGCATTTAGTGAACACCCAATACACGAAAGCTTTTGTGATTTTACCATTTGGTTCAAATATTTTTGGTAGAATATTTGATTGCTGGGGGTCAAAATAAGAGAGAACAAGTATAAGATATGATCCCTGTTCTCAAAGAATTCATAGTGTCTAGCCAAGGGTTCAAGACAAACTCCTGAGAAGACGGCTCCTAACAGGTAAGAAATTAAAAAAATAAATCTTATATGAATCAAGATAAGCGTGCAAACCTGTGGCTGGGACTGTCTCAGTGCTGTTTCGCATAGGATGGAATTTGAAGAAAAAGGAGAATTTGGACAGGAGGACAGAGGAGGGACATGATGCACGCAGAAATATGTAGAGAAAACCAGTCTTGGAGCAAATGATTGGAGCAAATGATTTCGTGTAGGAAATAACAAATGAGAGGCCAGAGAGAGAGAAGCTCTCACAGAAAAGCACGTGAATACAAGGTAAACCATGAAGTTTTGCATTTTATCTGATAAGCACAGGAATGACAAGATTAAAATGTTTTAAGATATTAATACAACCACAGTGTGCAGGATCAAAGGACAAAAGACAGCCCACCAGAGAGAAGACTGCATACACAGAGGCTGCTGTGGTCTCAATGTTTGTGCCCTACATTCGTGTGTTGAAACCTAGCCCTGAAAGAGATGGGCCTAAGAGGTAGGGCGTTTGGGAGGTGATCGAATGGAATGAGTGTCCTTATAAAAGAGGTTCTTGCTCCTTCCACCATGTGAGTACGCAGTGAGAAGGGGCCATCTGTGAGGAATGGGCCCTCACCAGACACTGAATCTGCCAGCCCCTTGATCTTAGACTTAGATCCCGGCTTCCAGAACTGTGAGAAATAAATGTCTGTTGTTTATAAGCCACCCAGTCCATGGTGTTTTGTTACAGCAGCCCAAATGAACCAAGCCAAAGGCAGTGCAGGGTACAGGCGAGCCCAGGCTCTGGAGCAGGTGGCTGGCTCCAGTCCACCTCTGGCACTCACCAGCTCCGCTAATTGGGCAAGCTGCTTTCCTTTTCCTCAGTTTCCTCTTCTGTAAAATGAGGATAATCACAGTACATACCTCTAAGAGCCGTTGGTAGGATTAGAATTAAATGGATAAAGTACTTTGAAAGTACCTAGTACATATTAAACATCTGTTGACTAGTATTGTTATTACTATTAGTTCAGAGGTGAGATTGTGAGGATCTGAACTAGGTGGTGAGGATAATGATGAGGAAAGAGGGCAAGAGACTAGGCAAGATGGGAGTGGGGGTAACAACAATGGGGGTTCTATGAATGAAACAATATCAGAAGGATGAGTGAATTTTAAGACAAAGGTGGATGAGATAATGCAACCTAATGCACTTTGAGCTGATATTAAATTATGTAATACAAATGGCAAGCACTCAATCAGTGCATGCTACCATTTGTATTTCCTGTAAAGCTCTTCCTGCCAAAGCCCTTTAGCTACATTCTCCACACACAATGCATTATTTAAAGCCCTGTGTTCCCACCGGGCATCGTCCATGTTTCTGTAGTGCTGCTTCACTCCTCAGAATCATCCTCCCCCAGGCCGTGAGCCCTGCAGAGGCAGGCTCTATGCTTCATTCCTCTCCCCACCTCCCCTAACCCAGGGTCTGCGCACAGCTAGGCACTAACACTTGCTGCGGACCACATTTGGCGTCTCACGACTTTGAAAGTGATTATGGCTCTCTGAAAAAATTAATTTAGTTATATACTCAGAACTAGAGAAAATCCATAGAATCGATGTTAAGCAGCCCTAGAGAGTCAAAAGAGTTTCATTAAGTATGCAACAGTTAATAAACAAGAATCAAAAGTTAACTGAGGCACCACATATACCCACCAGCAAACTGGTATTAACTGAGCAGTGGACACATAGGAACCACAGTAATTGGGTATTGGGCAGGTGGGAGGGGGAGGGGGAGGGGGCGGGGACATACATACATAGTGAGTGAGATGTGCACTGTCTGGGGAATGGTCACGCTGGAAGCTCAGATTTGTGGGGGCAGGGGGAGAAAGGGCATTATTTGAAACCTTAAAATGTGTACCCCCATAAGATGCTAAAATAAAAAAACAAAAGCAGAAAAAAAGTTAACTGAGGTGGGGCAAAAGGTGTTTCTGAGCACAGGGATCACTGTACTTTGTGAAGAAAGTCAATTTCTGTAGGAGCCCTTGTGTCCCCCCCTAGTCATGGCTAATCAGCTAATGCAGCTGCGGGAAAATGCATGATTTAAAGTCCAGTTGTACTCTCGCTGCATTTCGGGTCTTGCAGACCTAAAGGGAGCAGCGTTCAGAGACGAGCTATGGGGAAACATCATCGCACGTCCCCCTCCCTCCAACCAGTGGCAGAAAACGTCAGGTGCTGGGGACCCTTCTGTGTCAAAAGCAGTGTTTGCCCTGTGGTCGTTTGGTAGGTGTTCAATTCATAATAAGCATTTCGTATCCCTCATCCATTAATTCCTCAAAGTATTTTTGCCAAAATGTCATTAAATTTCTAATAAATCCCCCCCCCAAGTTAGCATAGTCTCAGGCCTGACTCAGGTTGTTTTCATCACGGAGTCATCCCTGCCTCACTCTTCCTTCCCGCGAAAGTGCAGCTCCAGGTCTTTGTTCTCGCTGTGCCCCAGGTTAACTCGCAGGCAAGTGCCTGGATTAAATAGAGGTAGCAGGAAATCATCCTGGAGACCGTCTTACCATATTTGGGCCTCAGTTCCATTCTTTCTTGTTCATCCATGTTATCCAGGATGGTGTACTTTGTTTTTTTCCTTATTTTAGTCCTTTTTCGTCTGAAAGGAACAATGAAAAGCTCAACTCAGATTCTCAGGAAGGTAACTGGGGTCCAGGCTTTAAAACACAGGGAAGACAGTAAAAGAAATGTCTTGCCTTTGGTATGTAATAGTTGATATCTTTTATTAAAGAAACATATGTAAGGACAGGTCAGATTTCAGTGGGGCTTAAGTACATTACGCATCTTGAAAAACACATTTAGGGGCCTGACAGCCACCTGTCAGCCGCTGTCACCCACCCAGCTACAGGTCTCAGCTAAGCCTCGGGCTCTGGTGTGAGGGACCCTGAGAGCAATCCTCAACACCTGTGTATTGACCCAGGAGCTTTTTTTCTCCATGAGTAATTCCTTACTCAGAAAAACCCAAATGAGGACATTTCCCCCTGGGCCTGTACTACCCTGGAATGCCCAATGTTGCAGGAATGAAAAGATGTCATGAACTAGCAATCAGAAAAAGAAAAAACAGCAGAGATTGTAACAAATTACCAGAATTAATTAGCAACAGCCCAATCTTTCATTTTTTCCCCCCACAATATGAAAACTGGGCTGTTCCTATGTGCCTCCACCCTATGCTACAGAGGATTATTTGAAAATACATATCCAAAGCATGCTAAGATATGTAGAGAACAAAACAGTAATTTCACAGCACAAAGGCCATTTTCTGGTAGTGTGATGATTAAGAGCGTGGGTCTGGCCAGGCGCAGTGGCTCACGCCTGTAATCCTAGCACTCTGGGAGGCCGAGGCAGGCGGATTGCTCGATGGTCAGAGTTCAGAAACAATGGCCTGAGCAAGTGTGGACCCCGTCTCTACTATAAATAGGAAGAAATTAATTGCCAACTAATATATATAGAAAAATTAGCCGGTGGCGCATGCCTGTAGTCCCAGCTACTCGGGAGGCTGAGGCAGGAGGATTGCTTGAGCCCAGGAGTTTGAAGTTGCTGTGAGCTAGGCTGACACCACAGCACTCACTCTAGCCTGGGCAACAAAGTGAGACTCTGTCTCAAAAAAAAAAAAAAAAAAAAAGCAGTGATGGGCAGGGGAAGTAGGGTAGGGAGTGTGAGAGATGTGCATCCAGAATGTTTAAAGCCATGCCCAGTAGGGTGACTACCATCCCATATGGCTCTAGAAAAATTTAATGGGATTTAGGCCTCTAAGTGCCTGTGCCTGGCTGTCTTTCACCGATCTTAACCTTTGGGAATGTAATCATAAAACTAAAATAATCTGTAAGTGATTTCTGAAAAATGATGATTATGATATACCTATTTTTTTTTTGAGACAGAGTCTCACTTTGTTGCCAGGCTAGAGTGAGTGCCATGGCGTCAGCCTAGCTCACAGCAACCTCTAACTCCTGGGCTCAAGCAATCCTCCTGCCTCAGCCTCCGAGTAGCTGGGACTACAGGCATGCACCACCCATGCCTGGCTAATTTTTTCTATATATGTTGGTTGGCCAATTAATTTCTTTCTATTTATAGTAGAGATGGGGTCTCACTCTTGCTCAGGTGGTTTCAAACTCCTGACTCGAGCAATCCGCCCGTCTCGCCTCCCAGAGTACAGGCGTGAGCCACCACGCCCGGCCCTTATATACACTATTTTTAAATCACATCTCTTGGAGAGCAATCATACGGTTTTCATATAAAAAGGAGACCCAAAGCTGTCTCCTATGGACTTGAGTAATCTCTTTCCCTACAAGTCTCCTTGCAGAGAGTTGAGCATGGATTCTGGAGGATTCAGACAATGAGGCAGCTCAGGGGATTCTTAGAGATCAGCTCCATGGATAAAGGAAAATGGAAAAACCTAAAGCAAAAGTTCTCTTTGGTTGTGTTATTGCCTCAAAGTTTTAAATTTATTAAAATGAATTCAGATTGATTGGATTATTTCTTCACATAATGAAAATAATCAAAATCTACAATTTTACCAGTATATTTCTAGAACTCCTTCCTCTACAGAGACCTGTAAGGCCAGTTAGGTCTTTTTGATCTTATGATACATATATTGGTTTTCCTCCACAGCTCCTGGCTTATAGCTCCCATATCCCTCGGGATAATGTTGGGTACTTTAGGCCCCAGAAGAAGCCTCAGAAAACAGAAACTCTCACTCTTTCTCCCGCCCTGCTCCTTTTTCTCCACAAAGCAGGAATCCCCCCCTCCCCCGCCCCCCCGGCCTTTCTGTCTTGGAGCTGGCCATAAATTCTCTGGCCTGCCTTATCTGATTATAGATCATAAGACCCCCAATCCAGGAGGGGTCCTGCCCCACAGCCTGGAAGCAGGATGCTGCACAGAGAGGTCAAGATGAATCGGAACAGACAGGCCTTGCTGGGTTTCCCTTCTCAGTCTATTAGGGTTAGATCCAACCCTTTTGGTCTAATCACATTTCTACACAGTTGTCAGTCGTGCCTATCCAATGAAGTCTCCCTGGAAGGCCCAAGAAGATGGGGCACAGAAAGCTTCTGGATGGCCAAACACATGGAGGTTCCTGGAGGGTGATGTGCCCCGGGAGGGCAGGAAGGCTCCACGCCCCTTCCCCCATACCTCGCCCCACACAGCTCTTCATCTGTTTCCTCTGTAATATGCTTCTTGGTAAATCAGTAAACATGTTTCCCTGAGGTCTGTGAGCCACCATAACAAATTAATGAAACCCAACAAGGAGGTCGTGGGATCCAATCAGAAGCACGGGTAAAACCACCCCGGCCTTGCAATTGGCGTGTGAATTTGAGGGGCACTCTTGGGGACTGAGCCCTCAATCTGAGGGATCTCCAGGTAGATAGTGTCAGAAGTGAGTTAGAGGATGCTCAGCTGGTGTTCACTTTAGAGTTGATTGTTTGCTTGGTGAGTGGGGAGAAACCCCCACACGTGTGGTCACGGAAGTCTCCTGTGTTGATTGTTGAGTGACAGAATAAACAATTTGGGTTTGAGTTTTACCACTCGCAGTACTGCCCTCGTGAATATAATAGGAGACTGATACAGAGTAACATTAGATTGAGCACAGAATCATTGAACTTCTTAGAAAACGTGAGAGCTACAATGAGAAAAAGCTGCCTCCACTTTTCCACTTACTTAGGCACTTCTGCCTTGCGATGAAGACTGCATTACAAATGCTTTTAGAGTTCGTCTTCATGAAAAAAGTGACTGTTAAACAGTTTAGCAGTTTAAAAAACCCAAGCAAACAATCCTTGAGCCATCACATCACACTTAATGGGATGTCTCTCTTTCACATAAATAAGCACCGGGTACCTCCTGCAGCAGCAGATGCAAAGCCAAGTGAGACCTCCTGTCAGCACAGTGAGAGTGAAAGCCAACACTGCCACGTAGAATACACTCCACTCTGAAAAACAAGAGAACCAAGTGGGCACAGTTGTATCCTATTTGCAAAGAAACTTTATTTTGACAATTCATAATGAGCATTTCTGAGTCCCTACAAGCAGAGTCCATCTGTGCTGTTGCTAACACCTCATCGGGCTGGTAGCAGAGAACAGCAAGACAAAACGAAAATAAGTCAAGAGCAACCTAAAACTGCCCTGTTTTTGCCATTTGGTTCAGGGACCTCATGGAGCACACATTTCATGCTGACTCGAAAAGAGAATAATCTGAAATAACTATAACTAGTCAATTACATAGTAATGCCTCTTATACAAACACCCACGCATGCACGGCACATCAAAATATTCCTTCTAGAATCCCAAGCATCACAACCCTTTCCCCCCAAAAAATCTGGCTTGTTTTTAATAAAGCAAATCAAGTAGCTGTATGGCTGTCCATAGCATGAAGCCATTTTTCAGAGCCAGAGAATAATTTGGAAACTACCTGATCTTCATTCCTCCCACAAACTTGCAGAAATCCAATGTAAAAAGCTTTGCAACCACAATTTCAGGAACTGAGAAGCCCAGAAAGGAAAAACACAAGGCTTAACTCTATTAAATGTTATATAACCTCCTTGGAATAATGATTCAAGAGCTGGATGTTTTCTAATTTTTATGTAGTATTAGGTGGGAACATAATTTGGCAGTCAACTCTTAACAATTTTTTCTGCCAGTTATGTCCATCTGGTTCTCCCAAACAAATTTACTCTTAGAAGTAGACTGGCATTAAACTATTGTTTTCTCCCTAGAGGAGACCTAACGGCACCTAAGCAGGTTTGCCTACTAAGGCTGTGGCTCCAATTTCTGGTGCCTCTTTGGGTGGACAGTCCCGAAGAGTAGGTCAAATTCTCTTCTTTATCCAATTCCACCAGGTCCACACCAGGGGCCACTTCACCAAAAAGTCACACCTGCCTAAGCCAAGGCAGGTGTAATCTGGAAATGCAGCCCATGGCCCAAAGCAACTCTTCCTTAGAAATGCTGGCGATAATTAGCCAAATCTGATCTGCCAAAAGCCTAAACCAGGCGTTCTCCAACTGTGGCCCACCGAGGACATTTATCCAGCCCACCGGGTGTTTTTGCCGCCGCTGCCTGTCCTGCTTAGCAGCTGACTTGTCCCGGTCCCACAGTGCGCATGTGTGGAATGTGCGCCGCACTCTCCAACGGCCCTCCAATGGTCTGAGGGACAGTGAACTGGCCCCCTGTTTAAAAAGTTTGAGGACCCCTGGTAAACACACTCCCAAAGTGAATGGCGGGGAGGATCTTAACTCATTACCAAGTGAACTGGTTCTCTGGGCTTCAGGTGAGAAAAGGTTGAATGTTGCCAGCCGCAAAGCTATGCAGGTCTTTCTGATACTCGAGAATGAGTTGCCGGAAAGCTCCTGGCCCAAAGTCACCTCCCCACCAGGACTCACCACAGTTGCTCTCCCCGTCCTGCATATAGCGCTGTATGAGGTTCTCCATCCACAACTGAGAGCAAATGCAGCGCTTTGTGATAGGGTCGCAGTGACCGTGGCCAGAACACTTCAGAAGGCAACCTGCAAAGAGGTGTGCAGAGCTGAGTCACCATGGAGAAAAGGGAAATCTCTGCTTCTGCTTTTGTACCTTCAACAGAGTAGGCCCCTCAGAAATGCATCTTGTTGAATTAAGAGCCCCTTGCAGTATGGACAGGGACTCTGAGAAACTCTCATCATTGACAATCTCCTCAGGAAGCAAACTGCAGAAAAAGGCCAATCCTTACCACATAGCAAAAGCCTTAAAAATGTAGCACCTTCTGGCCTAAGAAAATAATTCTAAGAATCTATCCAGTGAAATAATTGAGGATTTGCACAAAAATTTATCTACATTGTAGTATTATTTAAAATCAACCTTCAAGTCCATGAAGAAAAGACTGGTTGCATAATTATGGAACATACTCAGGGTAGAGTACTATGTGGCCATAACATCCCACTGTACAGAAATTTTAAAGGATTTGAGAACATGATCAAAATATGACTTGAAGTTAAAAGTCAGATTAAGAAGACACATATATCAAATCATTCTGACTATATTAAGTGTTCCTAGAGATAGGGGAACTGGAAGGCAATACATCAGTTAACAAAAGTTGTCTTTGGATGGCGGGAATTCTAGACTCTAGAATCTAGACTATTATTTTCTTCTTTGTACCTTTCTGGATATTCTAAATTTCCTACAATAAATAAAAATTACATAGCTAGGAAAAAAAGAGTTGTTAAAAAATTAATTTACTATATATTATGATTAAGAAAGTCATATATCTGAAACAAATTAAATTTTCTTGCCCAAACATTATCATGTCCCTTGTAACCCTCATGTTCCCCAGAGTCTACTAAAATGGCCACTTTGACATAGTAAGAGATTCATGTTACTCATGAGGCAAAGATGGGGACTGTGGAACCATGAATCAGTTTGTGTCCTGGAAGGGGTGGCAAGCAAGGTGCTAAGAAAAAAGGTACAAGTGGAGAAGGCATTTATAAGCTATCTCACATTTCCAAGAAGGTATATGACACCATCGTCACAACCTAAGGCATGACATCCAAGGAAAATAAATTATATACACATGGCTTTTCCAGCCAGTAACACTTGTCTTTAACACTGTTCTGACAGTTTAAATATGAAGTGTCTGAAAATGGCCATTATCTGTGAATACAATCTTAAATTTTGACCCATGACTAGTATCGATCTCCAGTTTTTTTCCGAGACAGAGAGTATTTGGCAAACCTACCGGAGAAATAAATGCAAAGCAAGTCCCTGGGTGCTCAAGTGAAAATGTTCATGTCACTCCTCTTTCTTGCCTGTAAAACTTAACTATGATGGCCCAGTCTGACTCTTTTAGACTATTCCCGTCAGAGACATACCTGCTGTGTCAATCCTCAAGACCTTGAAAAGCAAGAAGTCATCTTTCTCCTTTAAGAGCCGCGTGTGCAGATTTCGGGCCACTTCAGCAGCTTTGAGAACCTTGAAAGGCGGCCCACTCTGTACATAAAACACAATCACGGTGCTGCAGAGGAGACAACGAGAGAGGACAGCCACACAGTCAGATGGTGACCGACATGGCATGTCCACTGTAGCCATCTAACCTGTGAAGTCGGGGAGTAGACTGTTAGAGCTCTGTGGCCTGCCCAGGACATGAGGGCATATCTGTGGGCCAAGAAATTGATCTGTTTCTACTTACAAAATAAAGGCTCTTCTGTCTCAAAGTACAGCTGATCAAAGACCTTCAGATAAAAGGAGCAATGTGTAAATTATGTTTCAATTATAAAAAAAATCCCTAACCAAAGGGCTCTGGAGAGCTGTCACCCTGGTGAACAAGAACGCATCTATGAGCTGGGAGGGTGGGACACCCCAAACTCCACAGGACAGAAGCTCCTGTGCTCTGTAAAAAAAAAAAAAAAAAAAAAAAGGAGCAATGTATATATTAGTACAGACAGACCCAACTATACACAAAATAACTTTTAGCTGTCTTTCATCTTGTTGAGATATAACTTATATACCATAAAATTTACCCCTCTATTTTTAAAATTTTTAAATTTATTTTTATTTTATTTATTTATTTATTTTAGAGACAGGGTCCTGCTCTATCACCCAGGCTGGAGTGCAGTGGTGCAATCATAGCTCACTGCAGCCTTGAACTCCTAGGCTCAAGTGATCCTCTCACCTTGGCCTCAAAAAGTGCTGAGATTACAGACATGAGCCACCATGCCTGGCCAAAATTCACCCTTCTCAAGTATAAAATTCAATGACTTTTAGTATATTCACAAAGTTGCCCAACCATCACCACTTTCTAATTCCAGTACATTTTCATCACCCCAAAAGGACAACCCATACCCATTAAGAGCCATTCCTCCCAACTTCTCCTACAGTCCCTGAAACCACTAATCTGCTTTTTGACTCTATGGATTTGACTAGTCTAGTCTGGACACTTCATAGAAATGGAATCATATGATATGTGACTTTCTGTATTTGGCTTCTTTCATTCAGCATGTTTTCAAAGTTCATCCATGTCGTGGCATGTGACAGTACTTCATTCCTTCTTATTGCCAAGTAATATTCTATTGTATGACTATATCACATTTTTAATCCATTTTGCAGTTTATCAACATTTGGCGCATTTCTACAATTTGGCTATTTTGAATATGTGCTATGAACATTCATATATAAGTTTTTGTGTGTTCAATACCCTGGAATTGGCTCAATGGCCAAGAAAAAAGAAAAAGGAAAAAAAAATAATTAAAAAAAAAGTTTCTGTGTGGACATAAGTTTTTCATTTTTCTTGGGTTTCATTCTTCATTTTTCATTCTTCATTTTCTCAGAAGTAGAATTAATGGGTCATATGGTGACTATATTTAGCATTTTGAGGAACTACCAAACTGTTTTCCACAGTGGCTGTATCATTTTACATTCCCACCAGCAATGTACAGGTGTTCTGATTTGTCCACATACTCTGCAACACTTGCTATGGTCTGTATTTAGATTATGACCAGCCTAGTGGGTGTGGAGCGGTATCTCAATGTGGCTTTGATTTGTATTTCCCTAATGGCTAATGGTAATGAGCATCTTTTCATGTGCTTATTGGCTGTTTGCATATCTTCTTTGTAGAAACATCTATTCAAATCTGTATTAATTTCCTAAGGCTGCTGTAAAAAAAAGTACCATAAACTGGTGGCTTAAAACAATAGAAATCTCTTTCTACCCTCTTTCCTTTCTGGAGGGTAGACGTCCAAAGTCAAAGTGTCAGCATGACTGTGCTTTCTCTAGGGCTCTAGGGAATAGTCTGTTTCATGCTTTTCTGTTAGTCCCTGGTGCTGCCAGCAATCCTTGGTACTCCTTGGCTTGTAGATGCATCACTCCAGTCTCTGCCTCTGTCATTACATGGTGTTATCCCAGTGTATTTCTGTGTCTCTTGCCCTCTTCTTATAAGGACACCAGCCATACTGGATTAAGAGCCTCACCCTACTATAGTCTTAATTAGAGATATCTTCATCTTAATTAATAATATCTGCTATGACTCTATTTCCAAATAAGTTCATATTCACAGGTCCCAGGGGTTGGGACTTTAATATGTCTTTTGGGGAACACAATCCAACCCATGACAAGTATTTTCATCATAAAAGAGTGTTGGATTTTGTTAAATCTTTTTTCTGTTCCATTTGAGATGATCATGTGGTTTTGTCCTTTATTCTATTAATGTGGTTTATTACATATATTGCTGTTCATATGTTGAACCGCACTTGCATTCCTAAGATAAATCCCCCTTGGTCACAGTGCATAATCCTTTTAATATGAAGCTGGATTCAGTTTCATAGTATATCGCTGTGGATTTTTGCCTCTATATTCACAAAGGATATTCGTCTATAGTTTTCTTGCAATGTCTTTGTCTGGTTTTGGTGTCAGGGTAAAACTGGCCTCACAGAATGAGTTGAGAAATATTCTCTCCTCTTCTGTTTTCTGGAAAAGTTTGTGAAGGACTATATTAACTCTTTACTGTTTTGCAGAATTCAGTAGAGCCAACTGGTCCTTGGTTTTGTGGGAAGTTTTTGATTACTAATTCAATTTCTTTATTTGTTATAGGTCTATTCAGATTTTTAATTTCTTCTCAAGTGAGTTTTTTTAATTTATGTCTTTCTAGGAATTTGTCCATTTCTTCTCAGTTATCTAATGTGTTGACATACAAGTATTCATTATTCATTTATAATTCTTTTTATTTCTATAAAGTTGATAGTAGTAATGTCCCTTCTTCCCTTCCTGATTTTAGTAATTTGAGTCTTCTCTACTTTTTCCTGGTCAATCTAGCTAAAGTTTTATCAATTTTATTGATCTAAGGAACAACTTTTGATTTTCTGACATGTCTGATTCAGTCTTTGATAGTTCATAAGGGAAATATATAACCCATTTTAGAAAGAGTTCCATAAAAATAATTAGAATATGTATTAATTCATCATTTTTCTAAGTAAACATTAGTTCTCTGGAAAACTAGCCTAAGTGGAAGAGCTGAGAATAGCTGGCAAATTGAGTTACTGTGAATGGCAGGTTTTCATTTCCATATTCTTTCTCTCTCCCTCCTCCCTCTCACCCTAGGTTGGATAAGAGTTTAAATATAAAAACTCAATTAAATATAAACATCTCATAAAAAACAGAGGCCAGAGTTTCAGCCTTATAGACTCCCAAGAGAGAGCAAATGATAATCAGTGATCATGTTGTGGGAAGCCTCAGTCCCCTTGGGCGTGGGGCAGGGGTGAGGTGTGGCTGTGAGACACCCTCTTCACATGCCCCAGACCATGGACAGGTGTCGCGCCTGCCTCGCCAGCAAGGAAGACGCGGCAACTGGAGTTCTTCTGACCGTGCTTTAATGGGGTTCCCTTTAGACTTACATGATGCGGAAGACGCCGAGGCGTTCTCGGCGGCTGCTTATAAAGGCAGTAAGTACACTGGGCATTGTCTGATTGGATAAGGCACTTGGAAGGGAGGAGACAAACTCTGCACATGCGCTGAGCACTTGTTTGTCAGACTAACAGCAGGGTTTGACCAGGAAGCGGGCGCCATCTTGGAATGGCGTTGCCACCGCGCCCCACAGACAGGCCCTCCAAGTCACCAGAGCTAACAACCAACTCCCTCTGATGTTCCCCATTCTTCATTCAGAACATTCTCAGTCAACAAACGTTAACTGAGACTTGTGGGAAGGACCTAGAACGATGTTGTCTCTGCTCCTGCCCTTTGAGAGAAAACATATATGAGTGGGATAAGACAGTGCACAAGAATATAGAACAAGCCAACGGACGAACCACTTTCTGCTGGACTGGGATGCGGGAAGAGCTGGAACTGGTGTGCGGCGCGTACCTGAGGTCCGAGTGGGCCTGGATCTTCTGCACCTTAATGTCCGAGTCCAGCACATTGAGCAGCACCGCCAGCTGCCTCACCAGGGTGTCCTTCTGCTGCTCTGTCAGCTGCCCCACGCCAACCTGCAGGATCAGCTCCACCAGGCCACTCTTCCTGGGGTCTAGGAAAAGAGAAGTTTTGGCATTTCCACTTGGCGATCATAGGCTTGACAATATAAGGAGTGAGGCCTGTATAAGAGTTTAAAATTAATCATAGGCAATTTCCACATTTGGGATTTAGGACTCGGAAAAATTCATCTAACCACCTCAGAGGCCACTATCTGAGCATATTATTCCCTTGTTTTATCCCAATTTGTTGTGTATTAATTTTTTTTTCAAAAGATAATCAGGTGTACCTAATTAGACTCTAGGCTAACTTGAAATTTCAGCCCCTCACACTCTTGCCCAGGACCAGAAAGAGAACTATGTCTCCAAGCACATGGGCACTGCCCAGTCCAGTTTATGCTGTGGGCCCTTATGGCCACCTCATGGAAGCTCCCTTCCCTCAGTGTTCCCGTATGGAAGCCCTGTGTTCACTTCTCATTAGGGCTTTGCCCTCTGGCAGGAAGACAAATGAAACATTAAAAGAAAATCTTATTGCCAAATACAATTCTCCTTAATGAGTTATGAAACTGGATCTGTTTGGGGACACACAACAAGTATACAGACATCCTCAAAGTAGGTCCAGCCACGAGCTGGAGGCAGCCACAGGAGCCAGCCACAGTGGGTCACACCTGTTAACTGCAAAGCCCCCAAAGACTGATGAGCCAGACCATGCACGTCCAGCGTCAGGGCCAGGGAACGCACCTGGCTGCACTTCCACAGTGGCGGTGTCTGTGTCCGAGGCCCCCTGACTGTCAGTGACTCGCAAGCGGAAAGTGTACACTCCCTCCACCAGATTTGTAAGCTGCAGGGCTGCACCGCGGTCAGAGCCATCGATGACATCCTACAAAACAACACCGTTCACAGGGCAGTTGTCAATCGCAGTTCCCAATTTCTGGGCTTCTGTTGACCCCGAACCACAGTGTCCCTTCGCTTTAACATATGCATGATTTTAAAAGGGAGGCTGAAGAGGAACCCTATTTAGTGTTCCTCTTGATTGTTGGTCAATCCCCGACCTACTGACATATCTGGTACAACAGGAGGAAGAGGAAAGAATCCATTTGGACCAAAACAGGAATGACAGGCACACTAGGGAGGAGAAGGATTCCTTCCCGCTGGAAGAGCTGGCAGGTCAGCTGAAGATAGGAGTAATTCTCAGCACCTCTTCTCCATAAAGCACCAGGGGGCACAAATTCCTCAGATGATATTTTCTGTGCTGAGTTTGCTAAGCACTATTTAGGAATTACCAAATGATTAATTTTATCTAACAGAGGGAAAGACCATTTGAATTAGGGCAAGGACAGGTTTTCTGGATCTTATTTTCAAACACAGTTTTACAATACTCTCGTCTTGGGTTCCCTTATGGTATATCATGTTCATCTTCTCAAATGACCCAAAAGCCTTGGTAAACAGATCTGTTTTGTATTCCTCAAGGTTCCAAAGAATTAGAGAAGAAACTCTCAGACCCCTCTAACAGAAGGGATGGTAACTTGCTAACAGAAGATGGTACCAAAAAATAAGTGCTCTGAACAGAGACCCATTACAATTACATTTAGAAGCTAAGCCACTACCTAGCTGATAACATTAATCCTAGAAATGCTTTAGAAAGTATAAAGCAATTTCAGTTTCTTCCCTGTGACTACTCCTTGGATACATCTCCAAGAGTATATGCACATCTCTCCAGTCCTTAGCAACAGGGCTAATGATATACCTGAATTTATAGTTTAAGAGGCAGAGTGATCTAATGGGAAAAAAATGCCTTCCAGGAGCTAAAAACCTGAGTTAGTCTGGTTTTATCAGGAATGAGTTAATTGACCTTGGCCAAGACACTCTTCATCTCTGCATGTCACTTTGTGCACCTATGAAATGTGAATATCAATCCCTGACCTACTGACATATCTTGTACAATATGAGGAAGAGGAAAGAATCCACTTGGACCAAAACAGGAATGACAGGCACACTTGGGAGAATGATTCCTTCCCACCAGAAGAGTTTGCTTCAAAGTACTTCCAGGCTATGGTTTCCTACCCCATCCAAAGTCTGGTCAGGGAAAAGTCAGAAAGGACTTCAGCATTTGTTTAAACCTAACAGCAGCCTACTGCCTCCAGTCCTCAGGTCAGTCAAATGTAGAAGCGTAAGCACCTTTCAGGGAGCATGGGAATGTTCCTCAGGAGAGATGAGGCCATAATGAAGACATCGCTATGGTCTGTACTGTGTCCCTCCCAAATGTGAATGTTGAAGCCCTAACCCCAATGTGATTGTACCTAGAAACAGGACCTATAAGGAGGTAACTAAGGTTAAATGAGGTCATAAGGTTAGGGCCCCAATCCAACAGGATTAGTGTCCTTATAAGAAGAGACACCAAAGCACTCTTGCTCTCTCTCTCCCCACGCCTGCCATGTGAGGACACAACGTGAAGGCAGCTGTCTGTAAACCAGGAAGAGAGACCTCACCAGAAACTGCACTGACCAGCACCTTGATCTCGCCTTCCCAGCCTCCAGAACAGTGAGAAAATAAATTTCTATTGCTTTAGCTTCCCAGCCTGTGGTATTTTGTTGTGGCTTCCCAAGCTGACTAACACAGACGTAATGATAAGTGGTTTAGGAGTAATTCTCTTTAAGTACTCACTCCAGCCGCTGGACTCTGGCCGTCCCGGATCCACAGATAGGACACAATTCCTTGGTCATCAGTAGACCTTGAACCATCCAAAGTAATGGAATTATTGGGAAGCACAAGAACATGTCTGCCACCAGCCTGGGCTCTGGGAGGACTATTATTTTCTAAGTCAAATATAGCAAAAATGAAAGCAGAGAGATTGATTTAAAACACCAGTGATAGAAGTATATCATAAAACATCCTTAACTCTTCCACTTCGCAGATATAGTAAGTAGATTTAAAATATCCAAAAAAGTATTATTTTCTGCCCCAAATGCCTGTAAGATAATTTATAGACTTCCTCAAAGCTCTGTTTGTGCTTAGCTAGTTATACTTTGGGATAAAAAAAGTAAAACATGTGGCAGGCAATACACTGAGAATTTTTCTAATATCATTATGGTTTTTCTTTCCTTGGAAAATAATGGTCTTACTTACATTTAGGGTGCTAAAAGTGAAAATAATTTGGTTTACAATATATTCTGGATCATTTTGTATTGCTCTACACTATATGGCCACAGAAATATTTTGATTTTTGGTACTGCCGAATCTTGAATGTCTAAACAAGATAAAGAATTTGAGAGAAAAATAATTAGACCCTCACTTCTCTGATGAGGTGTTACATATAAATGAGGCAATGTAAGAGCCACCTCTGATGTAATAGCCTCAGGAAAGAGGGGCCTAGGAGGATTGAATGAACCCCAATTTGGAGATGAGGCTAACAGAGGCAAATGCTGCTTGTTCAGATGGGGTTCTGGAACACAATTTGACTCCTCTCAACTTCCCCTTAGAAATAAGTCAAGCAACAAAAAATGAGGGTGAGGACCACCAAGTGCTGATCCAAGGGAGTGATTAACATCCACGGGTCACCAGCCATTTTCACCCTGAGAAACTATGCCAGCGATTGGAGCAGAGACAACTGGTGCCGTTACTAGCTTTTCTGTTTCATTCATCACACTCCATTTTAGGGGGGATTTGGAGATAGGGGAGAGTCTGGTGTTAAGGAGACTTAATTCCATTGTAGATATACGAGAAGGCTAGAAAAAACAGATTGGCAACAAATTAAGCTAACCCAGAAGTCACTCTGTCAAACACAATGTCTAGACTCCATCCAGGTTCACAACCAGAACTTAGGATAGCCATTCTCCTTTTATGATTATGTACTCTTGAACTCCAGTCATGATGCTCCCCTGAGCGCTTCACCTAGGCACTCCATTGCCACAAATTCAATGTATCGAAATCTGAATTGCATTTTTCCATCCTCAAATACCCACTGCTGCTCTTCTGTGAGCCCTATTTCAGATAATCATGCCATCACCCACCCATATGCTGAAGACAAAACTCTTGGTGTCATCTTAGCATCTTAGGCACAATCTTTCTTACTCTCCAGATCTCTTCATTTCCCAAGTCTTGAGAATTTAAGACTCTGAAATATCTTCCCAATCTATCCTTTGTCCTCTTATTCTCTCTTTGTTTGGCCTCAAATGAGGCTCATGTCATCTCTCCTCCAGGCAATTACACCTGCCTTCTAATTATTCTCTCTACTTTCAGCCTCTCTTCTTACCAGTCTGGTATCTTTTCAAAAAATCCATACCTTCCAGCTAAGATGACATGATGTACGATTTGCTTTAAAATGTTCCAAAAAATAAAAGAAAACATGAATTGATAAACAAAACAAGATTGGCAAAATGTTGACAGCTGTTGAAGCTGAATGATGGGTATACAATGGTCTGTTAAGCCTATTCTCTCTACTTTTATGTACCCCACACTCTTGCTGTTGCACAAACTCAAACCTTTTTATACAGCCATGCTGTTTATGCCTCTGCACTTTAACACATAGTAATCACCCATCCACTAAGTCATTCAGCATTTATGGTTTGCCACAGTCTATCACTCTGCTATACAGAGCACAGAGGAACATCTGAAGCAAAGGCACTCAGGCATCTCACAGTCAAATAGGAAAACAGACAAGGAGGCAAGTCCCTAAAGCAGCACTGCACTAGTCTAGGCCACAAAGTTCACACTAAGAAATAACACAGAACTTGTATTTCTAAGGAAGAGAGAAAGCAAGGCATAATGGTGTCACTTGGACATGGGTCTTTCATTGCCAGTAGTCACAGAAGGAAAGTGAAGCCACTAGAAAATATACTCCACGAGCAAAAGGAAATGCTGTCTCCTTGCAGAAGGCAATTGGAAAATAGCTAATGTGGATAGAAGAAGGTTGGCTTTCCTTGGCCAGGTGGACTTTGGCATCCGCTATGAATACATAAGCACATACCAATGCCTCTGAACAACTGTGGCCTGGCTTAGGGTCCCGTAGGACTGGAAAGCAGAGCAGGCCCAGCCCTACCACCCTCAGACCCACTCACCCTTCTTCACGGCCACGGTGAGGGTGGACGTGCTGCTCAGTCCCTGCTGGTCTTTCACTGTCAAACGGAAGTGATATGTTCCCACCTGAAGACCAGTGACCGTGGCTATTGCTTTGTCAATATTTTCCATCTCCACTGCACTGGGGCCCCTATAAACAGGAATGTGGTTAACAAAGCGGGGAGGGGGGGCACAGGATTCTGAATATGGCAGACGTGTGCTTTGTGTCCCTATAAATGCTTTTTTTCCCAGCTAGAATATATGCCATTTAGAGAATTCTAAGACAACTTCATCATTTGCATTCTCTAGTTCAGTGTAAGAGTCATAAACTAATGCCTATTTCAGACAGAGACTGCTAGATTACTGCAAAAAATTTTCTTGTTTTTTTTTTTTTAATTGAGCTGCCAGTGAAATGATCTATCCTTGGAAAATGCAGCCTTAGAAACTACTCCCATTTCTTCTTTGAATAAAATGAGGTTAAATCCTCATCTATGTTTAAGGAGACTGTGGGGGAGGAGGGAATGAGCCAGATGATCAATCTCCTAAGAGACAAATTATGGTGCAGTCGGTAAGACTGTGGGGTTGGTGGTCACCCTAGGTGTGAGTCCAGCTCTTCTCTTACTATCTGGGTAATCTTAGGCCGTGTGATATCATTAGTCTCCGCAAGCCTCAGTTTCTTCGACTTCAAAGTGGGACTAAAGTTAGTATTTGCCTCTTAAGAACTGACATCAGAGTCTATGAGATTAAACATGTAAAGGTCAGAAAATGTTAGATAACACAGGTCTCCCCTTACATACACTCTGCACTCCTGTTGTCGACAGTCACTGCAGGACAGGTTGAGAGTAGACAGGACCACACACAGGTCTCCTTACACCTCTCCTGCATCAAGCTCACCTCACCCCCAGACTGCCCTGCACACCTGCGCTGGGCTCCACCTGCCTCCACTGCCAATGAATATCCATGCACACTTGAGACAGTCTTCAGCCAATAATGCCCAGCTGCTTCTAGAAACGTGCTTAAATCCTGACTCCTCAACAAGTTAAGTTGTTAGTTTACTACAGATCCTCCAGAGAAGGGGTACTGCAAGCATGCAGCACGGTGTGAACCTGGCAGCTCGGTGGCGAGATGCGCTACCTGACGTGCTCCCAGTGGTAGAAGACGATGCCGTGGTCGTCGCTGCTCCTGCTCCCATCCAGGGTAGCACTCGCCACTGGGAAGACCAGCTCCTCATCAGGGCCAGCCACTGCCACAGGAGGCCTGTTGTTTTCTGGAATTAAGCATGGAAAAGTATTATCTCTTTGCCTTAAGTCTGAAATCCCCTGATTTCTTGATTTAAGCAAATTATTCATATTCAGCGGCAGCGCGGAGCCCGTGTGGCAGTGTGCATGTGGCAAACCGAGCCCGCACATGGCGCTGAGGACAGCTCTCATTTTGTCCTTCGTACCATGGTTCAGAGACCCAGTCAAGACAAGATTCAGAAACTCAAAAGAAAATTGGTTTTATATGGAGCTTCAGCTCCCACAGCCCTGATTTCCCACCAGCTTAAAGTTTAGAGATGTTACCACCAAATTGGATACATCTGAAGCCCGGAAGCCCAGTTATCAGTTCAGCTTTCATCTCTAGGCCAAATCTCTTTTCCATCCACCTACCAGGCTGGACAGTCACCATGGCCACAGCAGTAGATTGTTGCCTTGAAGAATCTGTCACCATCAGCTGAAACGTATACTCTCCTTCCTGCATTGCAGATAAGTGAAGATAGGGTGTCTGTACTCCCTAAGTAATAGTGAACACAAAAATCAAAACAAAAACAAAAACTAATATTAAAGAAGCACCAGTAAATAGCATGACATAATGAAAAACTAATGATTCTACTTAATACAGAGATCTGGCTGGGAAAAGAAATTTATGTGTCCCCAGGAAAATGCAACCTAAAGTCCATTGTGTATCCTCATATACTGTTGAAGGAGTATGAATTAATACAGCTTTTCTGGAGGGCAATGTGGCAACATCTATTAAGATGTTAAATGAGCACAGTATTCAACCCAACAATTCCACTTCTTAGTATCTACACTAGAGAAGTGTACAAGTAAACTCACACGTGGATGCTGACTAAAGCATGGTCTGTAATAACAAAATATCTCTGTTGATTCACCCCCCAAACCAATACTAGACAGACAGATGAAAGTCTGAAGGCAGGATAAAGAACTTGCCTGCATGGCCACCTCTTTGCCCTCACTCCCAGGGGCCAGGGACCATTCATAGAGGACAATCTGGTGATCATCACTGCTCTGATTTCCATTCAACGTGATGGAGTTCTGGGGCAAAGTTATGGTCTGATTTGGTCCTGCATTGGCAACTGGGGGGTCATCCACAGCATTGTTGACCACTATGGCTGCAGTTGTGGAGTTAGTGGCTCCATCTGAGTCTGTAATGGTCAACCTATAAAAAGGAGAAGAAGCCATAGTTGTAAGAATTTGTTAAATTTTAAAGTAAATGGTCCATTTAGTCGGCTCATGGCATAGGTTTCAGAACAGGTATAAATAGAAATTTGAGGATGAAGCTAAAAAAAGCACACAGGCCAGGCACGGTGGCTCACGCCTGTAACCCTAGCAACTTTAGGAGGCCGAAACAGGAAGACTGCTTGAGCTCAGGAGTTCGAGACCAGACTTAGCAAGAACGAGACCCATCTCTACTAAAAAACAAACAAAATAGAAAATTAGCCAGGTGTCGTGAGGTACACCAGTTCCAGCTACTTGGGAGGCTGAGGCAGAAGGATTGCTTGAGCCCAGGAGTTTGAGGTTGCTGTGAGCTAGGCTGATGCCACTGCACTCTACCCAGGGTGACAGATCAAGAATCTGTCTAAAAAAAAAAAAAAAACACGTAGACTGTAGACTTTAGGATACCTTTGTTGCTGTTGATGATTTTTTTCAGCTTATAATTCATTCACATGTTAGAGTTTAACTTTTATGGGTTTCTGATTAGTCTTTGAGATGCTGGGTGAAGGAACCATCCTCAGCCAACACAGAAGCCACTCTCTGGTAACTGAGATTAAGGATATATCACGTATGGGATACAGTGCAGCTCAGCAGCACTTAAAGGAAAATTACAGCTTTTAATGCCTTTTAATAAAAGAAGGAAGATGAGTGTGTGTGTGTATAATGACCTAAAGTTCTACTCCAAGAAGAAAAAAACACAAACTAAATCCAAAGTAAACAGAAGTGGCCGGGCGTGGTGGCTCACGCCTGTAATCCTAGAACTGCGGGAGGCCGAGGTGGGTGGATCGTTTTTTGTTTTTTTGTTGTTGAAACAGTCTCACTTTGTTGCCCAGGCTAGAGTGCTGTGGCGTCAGCCTAGCTCACAGCAACCTCAAACTCCAGGGCTCAATCGATCCTTCTGCTTCAGCCTCCAGAGCTGGGACTACAGGCATGTGCCACCTTGCCCGGATTATTTATTTATATATATATATAAGTCTTGTTCTTGCTCAGGCTGGTCTTAAACTTCTGAGCTCAAACAATCCTCCCACCTCAGCCTCCCAGAGTGCTAGGATTACAGGCATGAGCCACCGTGCCCAGCCAGACCAGCCTGCGCAAGAGTGAGACCCCATCTCTACTAAAAAAATAGAAAGAAATTAATTGGCCAACTAAAAATATATAGAAAAAAATTAGCCGGGCCTTATATATATCTGCCTGTAGTCCCAGCTACTTGGGAGGCTGAGGCAGGAGGACTGCTTGAGCCCACGAGTTTGAGGTTGCTGTGAGCTAGGCTGACACCACAGCACTCTAGCCCGGGCAATAGAGTGAGACTCTGTCTCAAAAAAAAAGTAAATAGAAGTGAAGAAAGAATAAAAAGAAAAAATTAATGAATTAGAAAACTGACAAGGCCAGGCACAGTGGCTCATGCCTGTAATCCTACCCCTCTGGGAGGCCAAGATGGGAAGATTGCTTGAGTTCAGGAGTTCAGACCAGCCTTGGTAAGGACAAGATCCATGCTAACAAAAATAGAAAAATTAGCCAGGCATCGTGGGGCACCTGTGGCCCCAGCTACTCAGGAGGCTGAGGCAAGTGGATCACTTGAGCCCAGAAATTTGAGTTGCTGTGAGCTATGATTATGCCACTGCATTCTACCCAGGGTGACAAAACAAGACTCAGTCTCAAAAAAAAAAAAAAGTTGTAAAAGAAAAAAATTAAGATAAATAATCAGGCCTGGTGCAGTTCTGCACACCTCCCAGTTACTTGGGAGGCTGAAGAAGATCACCTGAGCCCAGGAGTTTGAGATCAGCCTGGGCAATACAGCAAGACCCCATCTCAAAAAAAAAGATAAATAATCATACAATTAACAGATAATTATACAATTCTGCCTCACTTTAAAGCTACAAACTTTCTTTCACATAATCCAATGAGCAAAATGTTACCACCCCATACTATTCCTAACAATCCAAACCAAATGTTTCCAATAAACAAACACTTATAGGTCATATTATTTGATGAGGATATCAGAGTCTATAGTGCCAGCCAATCAAAACCCACAAGAAAACCAAATCTGCCTTGCCTCTTGACCAAAATGAAGAGAAGCGGTGTTTTATAGGCCTTAATTTAAAGAAACGGTCAAAATATAAGTAGCAGAAAGCACAATAATGGTAGGGACCCACTTGCCTGAACGTATAGTTGCCAGAGCTAAGGTTAGACAAGTGCAGGACAGGGGAGTCAGCTGAGGTCTTCTCATCTATGAAGGGCCCGGTAATTTCTTCCCAGTGATAACTCACTATTTTAGTATCATCTGTACTTTCTAAAAGAGTAAAAAATAAAAACTAGAATGAAATGCAAGAATAGTAAAATATAAGTTTTGTAATTTCTATTATTGCATATTTAAATCTGTTTTTATATAAAAGTATATACTTGCAGAGATCCCAGTGGATATATATTATATATTAGAAGGAGGCTTTTTTCTACTCCCTAAATCATCATCACTATTTTTCTCCTAGATTTCCACCAGATTTGAGTGAAACTATTCCCACTCAGTTGAATATTTAAGAAGCACAGTGACAAGCACTATTGCTTTTTTAAAAACAGGCATCTACACAGTGCAGCACATTGAAATGCTACCTCTGTTCACTTCAACTACAACATATGAGATCCTACTGATAATTTTAAATAGGTATCCGAACCGACAGATTCATAAAGACTTAAGAGATACTTATCTATAATTTATAAAGCACCTTTTACTACCTTAATTTTCAAGGTATAAACCAGAGAGGTCATATCCTACATAGAAACTTTCCATTACTACTTTAAAAGGGAGTAAACTAAATGTGCCCTGTAGAATCAGAGAAATTTAATCCTGAAAGGAAGCCAGCTTTATCTAATTCATTTAATGAAAGAACAAGTTCATGTGACAGGTTAATAATCCTGAACAGTTTCCTATAATTAAGCCTCACCAAATTCGAGGAACGAAAGAGTGAATGCATTTTCTCCTGTAAATATTTCCATTTAAAATATGCTTTATTTTCACATTGCTCAGGAGGAAATGTGGACATCCATATTTGAATAGATGCAAATGGTCATGCCAATATGCCTCTGTACATTTGCAGGCTTATAAAATGGAGCAGACATTAGACTTTCCTTAATGTCTAGCAAGTATTCTCCCAATGACTAAGGCAACTGTTCTTCACTCTCTACAAGGTTTGGTATTAGCTTTGTGATTAAATGCACATAAAATGCAATTACCAGGTACACCGATATTATTGAACCATGTCAAACATGGGATGTGTTTTCAATCTATTCTCATCTGCATGGACACCTGTGGTTATGTTGGGACCCCCCCCCCTTCCACATATACTCTACTAGAAGGAACAAAGCCTAAACCAAATTAACAAATAAAACCCAAACCACTCTCACTGCAGGCACTCCTTCTAAGAGTTGTTAAAAGTGATTTTCCAATTATTAACCATATATACCACACTGGAAGGAGATTCTTTAATAATTGCTTTAATTCCCAATCAAATAGTTTGGCCCTAAAGAACTTTCTCATAGGATAGACAAATGCTGAGGAAAAGTAAACACAACACAGAGAAGTGCTGAAGGAACTAAAGAAGATACAAAATTAAAGAAGGAGGCAATCATTTATCAGTGTATTAGCCCATAGGTCCACCCAGACTTGATGCAGAGCACCCTTTAAATCTTATATGTAGAGGGAAAAAAAATCCCAGAAGTATCGCAAGATACACACGGCTGCCATCGATGAGGGCTGATGTCAAAGGCAAAGTGAGCTCTTGTGTTTCAGGATAAACGACTGCTATGGGTGGCAGGTTGACTCTTCTGGCTGTGACAGGAAAAAAGGACAGTGACTGAATCCACGTTGTGTATGCATATGCTGTTGCCCAAAATAAAATCATCTACTTTCCAAAAATTGATTATAAACATCCTGCCAAGAAAGTGTTTATCCTACAGGCTCAACTACGGAGAGCACTTTTTAAAATCTGGAGTCTTCCTATAAATTTTAGGAGCCTGTGTGTACATTTACATTTTTGTATGTAAGCTCAGGCTCAGTGAAGATGTGTGTTGATAACCAAGGGGCTAGTCACAGAACGTGAGCAGAAGTTGCAGAACAGGAGCAATGGATTATAGCTCCCAAAATTGAGATAAACTCGTACAACAGAAGGCCATTCTCTTACACAGGCTTACCTGGCTTAACAGTGACATTGATGAATGCTTCTCCAAAGGCGTTTTCACTAGAAACAGCTACTTTGAAGGTATAAAGTCCTACTGACAACTGCAACATAAAGAATAGTTATACAAATATACATGCAAAAGACATAATGGGTTTACTACCTAGAAAAGGCTAAAATATCCTAGAAGTCATACTCCTAAATCAACACAGAGAACGGGCTCAGGAGAAAATCTCATTTGGATCTGTCAAGAGTCTGCTGCATGTTTGAAGCCTGCACTCTGGAGCAGTAAAGGTCACCTAGGCCGGGCGTGGTGGCTCACGCCTGTAATCCTAGCACTCTGGGAGGCCAAGGCAGGCGGATTGCTCGAGGTCAGGAGTTCAAAACCAGCCTGAGCAAGAGTGAGACCCCATCTCTACTATAAAATAGAAAGAAATTAATTGGCCAACTAATATATATGGAAAAAATTAGCCAGGCATGGTGGCACATGCCTATAGTCCCAGCTACTCGGGAGGCTGAGGCAGCAGGATTGCTTGAGCCCAGGGGTTTGAGGTTGCTGTGAGCTAGGCTGATGCCACGGCACTCACCCTAACCTGGGCAACAAAGCGAGATTGTCTCAAAAAAAAAAGGTCACCTAGACAGGCCTTTAGCTTAGTTACAGATATTTTGCAATCACAAAAGTATTAGTCTGGGAAGCGTGCATTTTTAACTTGTAGAGCTGGTGAGTTGGCCGCTGGTGGTCTGGGTACCACACTTTGAGAAACAGAACTCAATAACATGTGGGTGATGCCCGTTCACATTACACCACTAGCTGGGTAGTCACAGGAGATGAAGCTAACATAATCATCTGGTAGGAAACCAGACCTCTGGCAGCTAAGTTCATTTATATATCCTTGGGGGCCAGGAAAAGAACGCGTTTCTTATGAGGTGCTTATATCTTAGCGTAATATTTGATAGTAAAAGCAATTTGTAAACTGGAATGAAATTATTCGTAACTCTAGAAATGTGCCCGATTAAGAACCAGAAAGAAGGCTAGATGCGGTAGCTCACGCCGGTAATCCCAGCACTCTGAGGCCGAGGCGGGAGGACTGCTCGAGGTCATGAGTTCAAAACCAGCCTGAGCAAGAGCGTAGATCCCTGTCTCTACTATAAATAGAAAGAAATCAATTGGCCAACTAATATATATATATAGAAAAAAAATTAGCCAGGCATGGTGGCATATGGCTGTAGTCCCAGCTACTGGGGAGTCTGAGGCAGTAGGATTGTTTGAGCCTAGGAGTTTGAGGTTGCTGTGAGCTAGGCTGGGCAACAAAGCGAGACTCTGTCTCAAAAAAATATAATAATAATTAAAAAAAAAAAAGAACCAGAAAGAATTAAAATGTCTCTAACACTGCAAGGAGAACAAGAGTTAGAACAGGTTTTTAATTTCAAAACAGATTTCTGGGAAACCAGACCCTTTCCCCTAAGATGATATGCCCAATAACTCAAATAAAGAAAAGCTATCTGAAGCCTATTTGACCATCTGCCTGCCTGTGTACATGGTTTTTTATAATTAATTAATTATTTTATTTATCTATTTAATAGTCTTGCTCTGTTGCCCAGGCTGGAGTGCAGTGATCACGGCTCACTGCAGCCTCGAACTCCTGGCCTCAAGCAATCCTCTCACCTTAGCCTCCTAAAGTGTTGGGATTACAGGCATGAGCCACCATGCTTAGCCTTATTCATTTATATCTTTTATTCATTTATATCCTTCTTTTGACCTTAATCCTAAGACTTTTGGGTTTAACAGCTAAGAAGGCATTAGCTGAAAGGCATTAGCTGAATTCAATGGAGTGCTGTCAAACGCATCTGATCTCCAGTTACTTACTTGAGAGAGGTTAAGAGTTTGCATGTGTCCTTGTTTTATTTCACCTTGGTAGTCTACAGGGTGGCTTATTAAACTCCATTCATAGTTGTAGGTTGTTTCTGAGAGCAAAAAAGAAATATGAGTAATTATAAATTCTAAGAGGTCACTATATAACCTGTGCAGAGGGAAAGAGATAATAGCCTTAAACCCAGTAATGATTACCTTAGATATACTGAACTTGACTTTCAACTATCATCCAAGTAAGGAATAACATTTTTATATCGTTTTAATGTAAAATTTATTTTTTATTGTAAACACATACAACTTACAGAAAATTTAGAAAATGAATAAAGTTAAAAAGAAAGCCAACTCCCTAATCTCACTGCTAGTATTTGATGATTTCTTTCCAGGGTGCTACATGTGACTCTACACGTAAGTTTTAACACAGTATTATCCATGGTACTTTTCTCCTTTTAATAAAAGGCAAGTAGATTTCCGTTCATTTGATCTGCTATAGGGGTTTATTTAGGGACACAAAAATAGAGTAAACATCTCTATGTTAAGATGAAGCTGTCTCCCACCTTCAGATATTAGTAAACTGTGAGGTAGGTCATCTCAAAGGATTCAAATGCAAAAGCCAAATATTATCATCTCTGTTTATAAAATTTTGACCCATATGTGATGGGGGGAAAAAATGAATAGAACACCTTAAGAATGAGTCTATTTTAATAAAGAATGCATTTGACAGGCCAGGGGGCCAGCCAAATGTTCACTGAACAGTAGAGCACGGACAAGTAGAAGAAAGAGCTTTTTCAGCAACATGTTTTGAGCAGCTGGTGCAAAGTAGCCTGAGAACCTCAGAGCCATGTTGCCAACTCTGCAGTATCTGCAAGCAAACCTTTGGGTGCGTGCCACCTCCCACCCCTCCCAGTGGCATCTTCCCAGCCTCTGTGGGTTATCACAGGCCAACATCTTGCATGCGGCAGCCTCTCCTGCTCTAATACACCACTCTGCTTTGCATCGTCAGAAATGTATGACTTTCCATCCTGGCTAATTACAGGATATGTTCTGTACTTAATTTCCTACATTCTTACTCCCCCCCCATTTTAAATTATTTCAATACATTTTGATGCTTAGGATAATCAAAGCCTTGTGCTCCACCCTCGTTTGTGTTGTGCGATGTGTGAAAATGATTCCATGCCGTACACAACCTGTAAAGGCCTGTTAAGGCAGGCCTTCACCACTCTGGTGGCCACAGAGGGAAGTCAAGCTCTCACCTGCAGGTGGCGGTGGCACAACGAAGGCCTGCAGTTCAACGTCATTGTTGGGTAACGTTACTATTAGGTTATCTCCAGCAGACACCGTAAGTTCTTTCACTGCAAGTTAATTAGAAACAGTACACGCCATTATATAACATAATGATGGCATGTTGCTACCCTACAACAGATCTCTCTTTTATCCATAAAATAAAACAGCATATGTTTTTGTAATAGTTCTTCATACGATTTTATCCGAGACAATTTTTTCCTCTGTCTAGGAACTGAACTGTGCCCTACATGATGCTGCTGGGCTTAGCACCATCAATATGAATGGGCTCTGTGAAGAAAATAATGTTTTAAATGGACTGAGCAATGTGTCGGGTGACAAGAGCTGTGTGAAATAGGTGGGGTACTGTGGATTGGGCCTATTTTCCCTCTTGCTGCCAGCTTTTGACTCCCTAGTGTGAGCTATTTTTAGTTTTAAAAAGATTGAGTATAATCACAAGTGTTTCTGTGTCATTAGTCACACAACACTCAGTTCTGATAGTAACCTCATGAATTACTGCTAATAGCTTTGCTCTTGGAAATTTTCCAAGAAAAAAAATCCAGTCGACCTCAATATGAAACACCTGTTTTAACTCAAGCAGCAGGAACGTTAACCCTCATCGAAAGCACTTATCCACTAAATAAGCATTCAGAACAATACTCATTTACTTTCTCTATAACCAGAATTACATCAATATACTCATACTATGGTTCTATCAGCTTGACTCGACTGAACATTAGTTTCACTTGTAAAATACATTGTAATATGTCAAATATCACACAGAAACAAGTAAAGATTAAAAAAAAAGCTGAGTGCACTCCAGAGGGATCAATTGCTTGGAGATGTCAGAGAGACAGGGTGCTTGTTTACTCTGTTCTTCTCTCAGTCCTCAGTCCCTCAATTGCTCCTTAGACCATCTGCAGAGGCTCTCAGTGGCTTCTCTGGCTCCTCTCTCCTGACACTCTCTCTAACTCTCTGCCCTGAAAGTCAGCAATTGTAGACCTAGAAGAGACATTGGAGGGGGAAACTGAACCCCAGAAAGGCAAAGCAAGTTGTCCAAGTCTATATGGATAACTAACAATAGGTTCACTGATACTTAATGAATTTAAATGTATTATTTCAACAAATGCTGACATAACAGATTAAACCATTCCAGGCACCATTCCAAGGGCTTTAAAACGATCGATTCATTTAATCCTCATAATAACCCTATATAGTAGGTTCTATTGGAACCCAAAGATCCTCCTTCCCAGGCCAGTTTCCCTTTCCAGGTACTACACAGCTTCTCTTCCACCATTACCCTTCTGGGTACTGAAGCTCAGGATCATAGTAATAGAAGAGTTAGAGAAGGTAATCTCCAAAATACATGACCCATAGAGAAGCTCAGGAAAGGTGACCCTTAGGTCTTGCATATTCTAATAACTTCCTTATTAGAAAAATCTAAGGGAAGCTTTTCAATCCTCATTGTGGCCTCTGCAACACATGGCACTTCAATTATTTCTTCCTTTTTGGAACTACAGGAGACCAGAATATGCCAACCCAAAATATGACTGTAGGAGACTAGAATATGCCACTGCAAATATGCCTCTTTAGTATAAGGATTATTCCAAGATGATTCTTTTGAGAAACAGCAGACAAGGAGAAGCTGTGAATACAGAGTAGAAGTTATCCTTTTGTGAGGAGAATTTACATCCAGAAAGGAAATGTCATTTCCTATTTGTAAGGGTATCTCCCTTTTGTACCAGAAGCAGAAAAATGACTAAATCCCAAGAGACTCATATCAACAGAGAAAGCAGGGACTTAACTCTGCATAACAAGCCTTCCTCTTGCTTACCTTGCTTGTTCTGGGCACCTTCCAACACTTGCCTTCCCCACACCTTTCTTTGTTTCAGTTGAAAATGCTATATAAACTGGTGCTCTAGCCTATCTCTTTGAGATTTAACTATCTCCCTGGATAGCTCCCATGTATATATGAAACATACATGTTAATAAACGCCCGTTTGTTTTTTGTTACAGGGGCTCCAGATAACTTAGAAGGGTAGAGGGAAAATTGTTTTTTTCTCTTCTACAGAATTCTCTCCTCCCTTTCTTCCCTCATTCCATGCTTTCCTCTTTATCTCCTACCCCTTTGGCATAATCACCCAGTCAGCTCTGCAGGCTCCCTCTGCTCTTCCAGCTCCTTATATGATGACATCCCCAAAGTATTCCTCTGCCTGGATAATCTCATATTGCCCCCATGTCTTCAATTATCACCTCTATACCTATGACTCCCAATCCTTTATCTTCTACCCAACCACTCGTCTAATTTCAGTTCTATATGTTCATATATCTCAGAGTCCTTTTCCTTCATCCTGAC